TGAATATCTTCCACTGTCGAAACCACGTCCGAAGAGCGCGACGATTTTGCTTAACTGACTGTGAACTAGACGAGGATGCTGAAGAGTTCGACGAGCGCTGACTGATACGCATTCGAGGTTTGTACGACTGTCTTTGCCGTGAAAGTTTCAGTAAATGAGACGATATTTCACTACCGTTTCCTCCGTTAAACTTGTTGCCGGAGTGTTGGCTACTGTTCGAATCATCAACCGAAGACTGTGTCATTCTCGAATGTAGCGGAAATATTACGGAAGGAGGCGGTAGAGCTGCCAGGAAGGCGTCATGTCGTCCATCTCTATCGCTCTTGGAGCTTCGACTTGGCTCGTCATCATCCGAACTGCGCTCCAAAATCCCCAATTCATACAATATTTCGAGTTGAGATCTCGCCAGAGCCTCTGTCGACTCTTTTGTCATGTTCTAGTACGTTTTGAAGTGCCGATAACCAAAGTCTCCACTAGCTCTCAACCGTTGCAGTGTTGCATTAAAAGTCGCGTCTTTAACTTCGACCCAAAATTAAAGCCGAAATTAAAATGTAGTATTAGTACCGAAATTAAAGGATTAAAGGGTTAACCCTTTAATTGTTATTGGCCAATATGAAGGACGAACAGCATGTTCCCGATATCTGGCGGGACTCGCTGGTGCGCTACTTGGGCTATGCGAACGAGTTGGGCGAGTCATTCCGCCCCATTGTGCCGCGTCTAGTTGTTCCCTCCTACCTTGTCGCGTTCGGATATGTACTAGGGGACACGTTTGACAAGGCCACCAAGGCGCACGCGAAAGCTATGGAGCAGCGAGTTTCTAGTCGCAAACGCAACGCTCTAGTGGTAGACGCAACAGTGGATACACTAGTGTGGCAGACCATGGCCAGTGTTGCGATCCCTGGATTCACTATCAACCGAGTGGTAAGGGAGGCATCAATTGGGGTAGAACGAGGTACTAACGAGATTTCACGATTCAGGTGGCAATGAGTTCGTTCGTGGTGCAGCGAGCAGCCAAGAACTCACCGGTAGTGCGTCGGTGGGCCCCCACTGCCATTGGACTGGGGGTTATTCCTTTGATCATCCACCCGATTGACAGCTTCGTGGATCTAGCGATGGACAAGACGGTGCGCAAATGGTCCAATGCGTTCGTTGATACCATTGTCTAATGACTCGATAACAAGAAAATGAACCATTTTTTCGTGCTACTGTGTTGTTGACTCAAGAATTAGCTAGCAAGTATCATTAATGGTTGGTATCGTCAATGGCTGGTTACTGGGCAGACTGTCAACTCAAACTCGCTGAACTTGATTTCGTCGATCTTTGACCGTGCCGGTCTGCACACTCGTGGACGAAACCAGGCGAGGCACTTACCGCTACCCGACCATTCTCGACGTAT